CAGGAAAGAGCTTTAAAGATAGTTGCCAGAATTGACAATTGTCTTACGAAAGACTTTTGTCTTTGGTGCTGACATTTGCCAGAATTGCCCTGTTAGTTAACAATTTATGGCGGCATAATCCTTTCGATACATATGTGTACGTTAGGGTGCATCACGAAGTAAAAGTTGCGGGTTTGCCACCGGAATTATAAAATTTTCTACATATATTTTAAGGCGTCCGCCAAAATATTTCCAAAAAATATTAAGATTTGCGTCAGCTTTTTAAATTGGTTTCGTTGATAAAATTTTTAAAAAATTTTATGCAAATTTTTTAAGCTTACATTTTTTGTCATCGCAGGTGCGTTTTTGCAAAAATTATTATTAAAAACTAGTTTTATTTATTAAAAAAATAGATTTTTTCAAATATTTTCACGTAAATATTAATATTTTTCGGATATATTTTGGCGGATACACCCTAATGTACATACATACATATATCTGAATACGTATATGAATAAATTTCACATATCCATACATACGAAACTATGGTTTTCGGTTTACTAAATTTTTGCAAATTTCGAATGACTTTTGAGCTGTTTACAATCATCACGAGCAATCATAAAAACAAATTATTTTCTGCGAATTACTTAGAACTAACGGTATTTTAAAGTACTACGTTTCGTTTATTCATTTGTGAAATTTTGTTTATGGCCATAACTTTATGACCACAAACTGTTCACTGACAAATAATTACAGCAAAAGCAACTTAAGCTGACACTTAAGGCGAGATATTTAAACGGATAAAAGTCATAAGGCACCATACCGCGGCAAATCCAAGTGTTGTACATACGTATGTATGTTTGTATGAAAGCATTTAGAAAAATATTAGCTTACTTAGATTTGATTGTTCTGACATTTGCGTGGAATACGTTGAAACCCTTTCACGGACGTACATGGCTATGCTCTCCTCACATCGATTTCATAATTTTACGCATATAAAAGCGAATCATAAACAATAAAGTGTCTATCTATTAAATTTAGCAAAAGAATACGTTTGTTACACTAACACTTCTACCTTCAGCCCGCTATGTATAGCAAAGAAACAGAGCTACTACTCGTGAGTGATAGGCACGTTATTGAGGTCAATAGCAATGACGGTTCTAGCTATATAAAAGCTATATTGAATGCAGATGGATGTTTGTAACTAAAACCAACAAACAACGGAGAGGAAGGAAAGCGAAGCATTAAGAAGACTGTCTTGTAAACACTTTTTCGCCGGCTTGAATTGAAATTCCGCTCTAAGCTCCAGGCAAAGTGATTGCTTTCAGCTTAGATCTGTAGATACAATTGTAGCACAATGATGCTCTTAACGCACGGCTGCTGCTGTTGCCGTTTTCATTAACGTGCGGCTTAATGCATTGTACGATGATTTTTTTTTTTTTTTTGCTTCTGAAAGACTGTGAACGCTGCCAATCGATGGAAATGGAGAGCGCTCATAAAATAAAGATACATTTATTGGCGAAAAATAGAAGCTCTGTAAAAAAGTTAAAAAAAAAACAACATTTATGTATGCATGAAAAAGCTGTATGCCTGCGGCTTTAAACAACTGAAGAAATGTTAGAAAGCACCAAGCATCGGAAACTTTGTAGACAAAAACAGCAAAAATGCGAAGAAATCAAATTTTTCTAATTGGCGTATATGTGTCTAATAGACATTGGCGCGTAAAAAGTAGCTAAAGAAACAATAGCAACAATAACAACAACAGCAATTACCAATAGAAATAGCGTTGCACATTACAACAAGTTTATAAAGTAAGCAAAAAAAAAAGCAAACAGTAGCTGTATTAAATAGAAAAATTGTGCTTTCTAGCGATGTCTGCTTCTTAGATTTTTTTGACTACTGTTTAGAAAATTTTTTCCACTTTTTTCCCCACTCTAGTATTTGTATTGATGATCGCTGGTGTGCAATGAAGCAAGAATTCATTCCAACACCATGCGAATTGTCTAGTATTTCTTTGTTTGTTCGCAAATAAGTCAGTGAAATTGAGCGAGTTGAGTGGTCAATGGAAAGCAGAAAGAAGCTCTACTATAATTCAATCATCTGTCATTTGTTGTGTATCGTCCACAGCGAGTTTGATTGTTGCTGCCGTTTTTCTTGACAATTTTAATTGGCTCCCGCAGAGTTTTGCCATATTTTTTTTTTTTTTGGCTGTAGCAATTCCGTGAAGGAAGTTGTTCGGTTGCCACGGTAAGTGAATGAAAGTATAGAAAGAGGTTTTTGTTCGCATATAATGAATGGAAGAGTAACCGAGTATATTGAAAAGAAACTGATGAGAAGCATGCTGCGGAATTTCATATTAAAAAAAAAACTCATTAGTTGTATACTATTTTTTTAATCCTACACATTTCACTTTCTAAAATTTAACCTTAGCCCCTAAACGCCTTAGCCTGTATTATTTTAAATTTTGTTGAAATTTTTCTTAAAGTAAATTACCATCAATTGGGCTTCGCATACACATTAGGGTGATCCTTAAAATATCAACAGCAGGCACGCCTTTATTTGATTATATCTATTGACCGACCTTTGCCCGGAGTGTATATACTCTTCAAAGTTTTCTAGATTTGGATAGCTTTAAAAAAATATTTTAGAAATAAAACAAAAAAAAAAAGGATTTCGATATCTATTAAAAACATTCCTTACTCTAAAATTTAGGTGGCAACCCTATTCCGAAATGCGCTGGAATGAATGGTACATATCTTGAGCGTTTATGTACTATGTATACATAAAAAATCCTGATTGAAATTAACAAAATAAAAATTTGTATTACATAGAAGCGTTGCAACCCTGATGGAAAATATTTTCTGACCAAAGTTCTCAACATTCACCTTTCATTTGATATCTATATTGCGTTGTTTTAGATAAATTGTGTTGAATCGAAAATAAGTGGCAACCTTGCACTATTATCCTAAGAGATAAAATTTTGTACATATATAGGGAAAGCATTGTTTAAGAACCTTCTCTTGGTACCCATGAATAGTAATATTTTATCATTCTTTCGAAACAAAAAATTAGATAAATATGCGATTCAAAATAGGTGGCAACCCTATCAACAATATTTTTCAATTACGGATCTTTAAAATACCTTCCATTTGATACCCATATTATGATGTTTTAATTAATTTTTTATCTTCTCGGAGATATTGCCTATTCAGATACCCTTAAAATCCAAAACATTATCTGTGTACAAAATTTCGTCAAAATCGTTAGAGCCGCGTCCGAGAACATATACATTAGGCTGGGTTGATTTTGTATGGGGGAAAATAAAAGGCATTTGACCGTTTTGTAATAGTAATATTATCATGTCTTAGGTCTAAGCCAAGTGTTATTGGCCGCGCAATTGAATCAAAGTGAATGAATTTTGAAAATGAAACTTTGGCGTGTAATATCCATGGAATGTGTTAATTGTTATTAACAGGACGATATATCAAATTAAGGGTTATTAAATTTGGGACCTCACGTTCATTTATCATTTTTCAACAAGTCTACAAGTTTTTAAGATATTAAGATAAAACTTACAAAAACCATAATTTTCCCTTATGTGTTTCCAATTCTTCATTAATTCAGCAACCAAGTGAAAAATACAAAAAAGTGAGTCGAGATTTATTTCAATCGTTTTAATGTTTTCGGATGTTTATATAATATTAAAAGGACCATGCACTTGGTCACGCCGATTTGGTCAGTTTTCAAGATCGTGGTGAATGATGTCAAACATGTATTGTCAAAGATTAGCAATCGTTTGATAAGTTAATACTAGTTTCAAGCATATAAGTATTAACATACATTAACATAATACAATTAGGGTGTGAAACGCCCATTTTACGTCCATTTAGGCAGTCTTGAAAATTGGTGCGGAATGGGCTCATTAGTCACCGAATGTTTAGGCGCGTCTGCTAACACCAGGCGCCTAAATGCATGCTATGTACTGCTGCATGTGCATAAATTTCCTTTATGCAATTTAGGAAATTTTTGCACATGCACTTCTCAACTGCCATGTAATTGAACTTTCTTAAGTTCTAATTGGATGGCACTTCAAAGTATGCTCGGCCTAGTCTGATGCATCCTCCGGACACTGCTTCCGGAGCATTTTGCGGACTCTGCATGACTTACAACCATGCAGAGGTGGTAAATGAACTTTACCATTGGCCACAGTGCCTACCCACCATTTTTTGAACCAATAAATATTTTTTTTTATAAATACATACATGCAATACTGGTCTCCCCTCTCACTGAGTTAATCACCGAAGAAGCACTTTTTCGCGGTTTCTAAATTTGCCGTTATATGAAAGTAGGTGACGTGCAATAAGTGTTTAGATATATATAAATATTTCAATTAATTCCATTATGTGAAAAAGTGACAGTAGGTAAATGCGAAATTCTTTTAACATATCCTGGGAAATCCTTTTGAGTACCCTTCAATTGGACGATATTGCTTTGCATTCAGCTCGAACGAAAAATGTGAAACATTCTGGCACACTTTTCTGTAATCCGGTTCTATCATTTAAAAGTTATTTATGCAATTTAAGAGAAATTTTTTCGCTAATTTTTTTCGATATAACTTTGGTAAATGTTACTCGATCGGTACGTAATAATTACCAAAATCGTTCAGATTATAAACAAACTATTTTAAAATAAAAAACGTTGAACAAATTTTTTCTCTTTTTTCTATATTTGCAATTTTTATATTGTATGCATAAACATAAGTAAACTAATTAGTGTTTCTAGAAGTTGTGCCTGTTCAGTGTTTCCATACTCATTTTAATAAACAAAAATTTTCCACGATGATGGACAATTCTTTCCTATTAGAGCTACCGATATTGTTCCAAAATTTGTGCAAATTCGCAAACTGTAGCTAATATTATAAAAAGATTAAAATATTTGGGACCAGCGACCTAAATGCACGCCAGCAATATTAATGCTGTTCTTTACATCTTTTGACTATAGGCCAATGCAATTATCAACACACAATTACAGTTTGGTTGAAAAACAGATAAGTTTGAGATTAACGATAAGCAAAAGGGCTGCGGGAAATTATATTTGACTTTATCTTTTGCGTTAACGGATTCATTATCTAATAATATGCACCAAACATTTTTGCTGAACCCAGAATTTTTAACAAGAATTTGTCTTATTCGACTAGTGTGCTGTGGGTCATATGGCGGTCGATGCGCGGGCTCTTACAATTAAAATTTTGCAGGCTTGTTGTTGACTTCACGATACAATATATTTTCACTATTACCAATGGATTTGAGAAAAATTAGATTTTCGACCCGCCCTAATATACATATATATAGAATTGCTGGTTTAATGCAATACGGTTTTTCACAACCGGGGTTTGAAAATATTTAAATTTTTTAAAAATTGCAAAGCAATATTATGTGAGTAAAAATTTTGTAAAATTTTTGCGATTACAAAAAAAAAAAATTTTTTTTTAAGTTTGTTCGTTTAAATCCATCTGCACACAACGCTTGAAATTGTTTGTCAATTATTCGGGTCTATTCCTGTTGGCGTTGTCGTTTCTAAATTCGTTAACAATGAGATAACGAATATTTCTTTTCAAAATGAAGAATACTGATAGATATTCAATTAATGTTCTTTACAGATTGCTTTCTAATAATCGAGGAGTATCCTTCTTTATCATAGTCATGCAGATTGCTTCGTATGATGTTATGCCAAAAGATATCCTTGTTATGATTCCTGACCCGAAAGTCAATTAGTTTATTCAAAGCTTTGATTTAAAGAGAGTTAAGGGTGATTAGTCTTTGTGTAAACCTCTTGCACTTTTAACAGTAAACTTGTTGTAGGACTCTTAATCTCAATTTCAATCTCGATCCTGATCTTAATCCTAATCATGACTAACCACTCCGCCATCCCCTAAATTCTCTTGGCGCTTTTTCATTTGGAATTAGAGTCTCACGAGTATGCCGCTTTTTCGCTAGATCGATGTTTACATTCACTTCCAACCGAACACAAAAAAGTTTCACTACAAAAAATCACCTGCCGTTGAAAAGCGGCATAAAACTTGCTTTTCGACATCAAGACATATCCACCAACTCCAATTAAATAAACTCGATCAAACACTTAACAATAATGTAAGCACCAAATATTTGTATTTGTTTATGTCTATAATAAACTCAATCGAGTTTTATATACCTTGATAGTTACATTTGCATTTTGATATACTTCTCACAATTTGAATTTCTACCACTTCACAAATCTCCCAATTGTCATATCTGTGTTGTAACTCCTTCAGCACATATTTTTGCCTTCGCTACATTCATTAGAGGAGCTTTAACGCAGTGCCCTAAGCTAGGCTTCCGCAATACATAATCGCATACATATCTGCATAATAACATAGTACAGCTAAAAATAACTTTAGTGAAAGAAATACTTCACATTATGCTTCACAATTAAATTTAATTATTCATGTGAGTTCAATGTTCAGGCGCGAGCAGCTAAAAAATCGTGTTTGTGGTTAACTACACTGGTAGAAAATAATATTCAAAAAGTTTTTTACTGACTTAGTTCCTAGAATCAGACGTAATGTCATCCTATTTGCTGAAATTTCATTGTTCGGCATCAACGAATACTCATTGTTTTATTTTTTGCTATATAAGAAACAACAAATGCGGAAGCATCATTCCCTAAATATGGACGTAGGACTTCCCGAGAAAACAGAAGGAAATGCACAGTGAGAAATGATAAATGGTTACCAATTTTGATGAAATTCAGAGTATTTATTTGTTGATTTTAACCAGAAAAGCATATATCTGAAAGAACGTCAAAATCGGTTAATATAATCGCCCACCGAATCTAAAAAAAAAAAAAAATGGCGCAAATGTTAAAGAATTATGTTGTGATGAACTTTGGGGTACCCTGCTCGTTTACTGCAAAAATTTTCTCATTTGGAAACTCTTCCTTTCTGACTATGGCGGCCACCTCATACAGAACATTTTTGGCTCGAAGTAGTAAATTTTATGAATTTTTGGGGGAA